ATTGGTCAGCCGGTTAGCGCGGTCGATGCTAATAATAAAAACACACACACACATCAATTTGAGAACAGTATTTAATTCAGGGGTCGGGCTAACAGGCGGCGTTATTCAACGTGCGCAGAACCCAGGCGGGGAAACAAAAAGGACCCATCTAAAACAGTATTTTTGCGAAAAAAAAACTCCGCTATCGCTCCGTTTTTTTTTCGCACGCGCGCTTCGCGCGCGGAAAAATTCCTATTATGACACACAGAGGTTTGAACGCTTCAAATGACCTCAACTTCAAGAGAGCATGTACTGAGTACACCGGCCCGTCTCAGAGCCCACGGGTCACGAGTCATTCGGAACCCGGACCCCACGACAAACAACATATGTTGAACAAAACTCAAACCGTAGTGAAACGGCGTGATTTCGGCTTCGATTACCTCCGCGTAAAAAAACTCCATTTTCAACATACATGGCCCAACATTGTGCTGTTTTAGGCTGGCGACCCGTGGCTGTGTTGGGGAGCGTCCATTGTGTAACGAGTCGTTAGCACGTAGCGGTGAAGGTCTGATGCCTGGAATCAGCAAGTATCAGATAGCTCCCGATCATGGCACTGCTTCTGGTGCGAGAAAGGGAATTAATGCTCCTGAGAGGTATTCTAGCCCCTCATGCAGCGATGCACACACACTGACCTCACTTTATGCAATAGAACGACTGTACCGAGTGCGATGAGTAGTGAAGATACTCGTACCCGCTGTAGTGGCAGGTGTAGTGTCGGAGCAAAGGCCTCCTTATGGATGGTATTGCTCCGAATACCTAAAATACGGGAGCGGGGCGTACTCTTGTGTGTTGCATGCCTTAGCGATTAGACCATTGACCACGCGTCCTCGCGAGGACGGAGCATTGTTCCCACAGGACCGATCACCAATCGCCAATCGTTCCTTCTTACTTCGCCAAAGGTGGCTCAAAAACATCTTCCGTTGTCTATATATCCTATCGGTATCACTTCCCGCCTTTTCAACCTCTTCCCATGTCCCAGTACAGCCAACGTCTTATCCTGGCTATTCCATGGCTCAAACATCTCCCTGTACTTTGCTTCTTCTTTTCCCAGCTCAGTCATGTACATTCCCCTCTCCTTGTACAGCCGATATTCCGCAACTACATCAACACGGTCTTCGCAGTCGGCGCCACAGTAAAACTCAAAATACGGGACGGGGGGGAGGCATTTTCCATGCCCGGTTGTGTGGAAGCCAAATGAAATACTCTCGCATTCAACAAAATAAAGAAAGCACGGAAATGCGGCCTAACTGCGGTAAAAAATGTGGGGTCAAAATTGAAAAGAGATTTGAGAACTGTGCTACCGAGACTACATCTTCTAATGGAAAACAAACCCGTCGTAACCCTGTCCACTGGGTCATGCCGACGACATGTGACACTCTGGGCACAACCCGGTACATGCGAATCACTCAATTCTTCCGAGTCTCGTCTGTTTACAAAATTCTACACCAGAGTGCCTCGAAAACACAACCCTGCCGTCTTGCGGACCACCGCCAAAATTGAGTGGCTGAAACCAAATATCGAGCTACTATTACAACAGCACCCATCCGCATTCCGTCGGGTCATGTCTTTTTCTTAAGCTTGATGACGATTTTCTTCTTCGTTCCTGCCGCCGCTCCGGCAGTCGGGCCGCCCGCCACTCGCTGTTTCGTGAAGGCTTTGCTCGCGGTTCCAGCCCCCTGCTGCTGTTGTTGCTTTGTCGGCCAGTCCGCTGTTTGTCCTATTGGTCTTGCAGCTGTAGTTGTCGCCGTTGACGTGTTGCTGGAGACTTGTGGTGCAAATTTCCGTTCTGCCTCAGCAGCCTGGAAAAAAAATGGCAAGTTCCAGATTACGTTGGAAGGTTAGATAGAATTCTCTTAGGGAAACACTACATGACGTGGAATACAACCAACGCTAGAGAAAAGGTAGCGTTACTGAAAGAATGCCGGAAAATGGCAGGTGTTACGTTCCGCTTAAACGTCATTTCTTGTCCACGGCGGCAACCTTTTTTCTCGCAGTAAAACAAAGCTGATAGCGGCACCGAACTAAACCCTGGAAGTTCGCCAGAAAAACGCATACCAATCATCGAAGTTAAAGAAAGCGGCCGAGTAGCGGCAAGTGTGAATTGGCCGCAAGACACAGCACAGGCAAGACACCCGGGTGAGAAGGTCAGGAACAGCGACACAAAAATGTTGTACCAGTGGTATCTGCTAGACGTAGAGATCCACCAGTGCCTCACTTTTTCCTCTTCCCGCTTGTCGAGCTCTTGTGCCGCGCTGACGAGGAGCGCCATGACCGACTCGTTTGTCACGAGGTCCACCGGCTTTTCGCCTCTGTCGTTCTTAGCCCCCACGTCTGCCCCTGCCCCAATCAAAAGCTCGACAACCTGGCACCAAGAAAAGCCATCCATTCCCACAGTTATCGGAACCTTTGGAGTGGATCTTGTCACTACAGTAGTTTGGGGGCAAGGCGTACTTGAAAGCATTGGTGTGAAGAAGTCCACCTACTTGGCGCCTACAGGATCCTTGTCGGAAACTGCTCAAGTGTGTTCGGAAGCGTCCGAGATGTGGGCACCAGTGTACAGGGGCATGAAGAAGGCTGGAGCCCACTTGAAAATGGTTTTGGCGTGAGTTGGAGGTGCACTAAGGTGCATCCCACGTGGCAGGAAATTCGCGCACCTTGTTCCCCGTAAGCCAAGTACAGCTGAATATGGGATTGCTAGCTAAACCCATGGCTGGCGCGGCATGTAATTAGCTCCATCCACACGCTCTGGTAGCTTAACCCAGCAGCTTTTGTGAGAACCGAAGGGCCTCTTGCCTGAGCATAGCGGAACTCAGGAATGGAACTGCCCCATTCGCGAAGCACAAAGCTTGAATCAATCGGTGAATTAAACGCACGATACGTGAGATACCCCACCACAAACGCACATCTAACATCCATCTTCGCGAAAGGCAGACACTTGTATCGGTTCAGCGTCACTTTCGTGAACTCGACTCGACGTACATGACACGAGGACTCTTCCAAGTCTCTTGTGTCCGAAGCATCGCTGACTCCCGCAACAGAACAGGCCCAGTGCAACGCGGTATCTCCTCCCGTTGTTCTGACGTTGACGCTAGCCTAAACACACACGGGCAGAGCACGACCGGGACAAATATGACACTGACGTGTGTCTTGAATTCTAGTAAAAACCGCGGCAGCCGACTGACCAATGCTAATATGTCAATCTCAAGTGCGGCTGAAAACATACAACGCTTCTAACGGCGATGACCTGGGACCCCGTGACGAGGTGCCATCGGGGGGACGAGGCTATTCTCCGAATCAAAGACAGAATGGTAGCAGATTGAAGAGAATTGCACGTATCACCGGGGCGTACTCGTGTTCATTTAGGCTCTCTCCACATTATACTGGCTCTACAGCAGCATTATCTTGTGTTCAATGCCCTCATCATGTTGGGCAGTTTTTTATTCCTCCGGCGCGTGTTGTGTAGTATATCAGTTGGGTAGAAACTTCTACTCTTTTCCGTACTATCGTACCATCTCTCCGTTCTTCCTTCTTGTTTCCATCCCTCTCCCCCCTTCAACTTCCTCCTCCTTCGATACCACGATTTTTTTCCGTGTGTATTTGTGTGTTTGTTGGAGTCTTGACGGTGCGTGGCTGAAAATGGAAGGTGCATGTGAGACAACGTATTTATCTACGCAAAAAGTCGAGAGCAAAACAAATCCGTCGGTTTCAAAACGCCTTAAAATATCCGTGATACCTCGGTCCCACACACACTATTTGTACCGCACCTTTCCTGTTCCCAGCAGAACCTTGGCTACTTTCGCGTCGCATCTTTTTGCACACCTGCGGAGAGAGATGAGGCAGAAGGAATTGCATGGAAAAAGCAACACCGAAAACAGCCTGCCGGATTCGGCGTAGGACTACAGTTTGTCGGCTAGGAGAGGTTCTCCATCACCAGAGCGCCAAGTTTCGAACACATTGGGTGCTCATACCGCGCCCAACGCTTGAGTGCTCCAGTGGGCTTGCTAGCCAAAGGATTAACACCCTACCATCAGCATCAACAACACGAACTGAGGAGCTGCCTGTCAACAGCTCACAGGAGGAGCTGCACCTACACCGACAACGAGGAAGACGAACGTGATTGAGGGAGGAAGGGTCTTCGGCAGCGTTCGCACCCCCTTACCAGTGTAGCGGCGTTCTCCCGAAGCTATCTTGTCGGTTGATGTCCGTCGCATCGTGTTCCGCCAAGGCCTTCACCACCTCGTATAGCCCTCGCTCAGCCGCCAGTGTAACCGGGGTCTTTCGAATGGTCGATCAAGAGGGAGGGGCGGGTTACGGTACCAGGAGATTCACAACATGCGGCATACAGACCGATACACTGAAAATCAAACGCTGCACAAACAAGTAAACAGCTTCAACGAAGTCCTGTACCAAGCAGCTGAAACTCAATCTTCAGTGCAAGGGCTTCAACTCATCCCCTCTGGAAATAATGGTCTCGAACGGGTACAATACAAACTCCTTGTGAGGTTGGGAATACCCTTCAGTAAACCAGCAGTGGCTGACTGCTTCTGGCCGTTTTCGGAGCGTTCTTTCATGGTTCGTGGTTTACCTGCAGGTGGGCATCTTGTGTGTTAGGATTTGCCCCAGAAGAAAGAAGAAACCCAACCTCATCCACATCGCCTTTGACGGCCGCTTGGTGCAAACTAGTCCGCCCCTGGATGGGGGGAAGCAGGCAGCGCGGGTAGTAGAGCGCAAGAGAGAATATTTGGACTACAACCGCCCTAGTGCTTTAGAACGACTCGGCATTTTCGGGTGTGGGGGAGAGAAAGGCGCACACCGTTCGGTTAAGGTAGTTAGTGGCAAGGCCTGGCTTCCCGACTGCCTATATAGACATGACCAAAGATGTTTGCGGGCTCGAGTTGCCGTATGTGCATAGCATACTGCTGTAGGGTTGCACCGAAGTGTGGCAGCATTTGGGTCGCGAAACTAACCGCAGGAGTTCCGCACACATGCACTACAAAACTGCCGCGCGGAGTAAAGCAGACGAAAAGGCGTCGGGGAAAAACAGCCGTCGCGGCTCTCGCACAAGGTGTTCGACATAGCGCAAGGTGATACCTCCAAACTCTCAACCAGCAGGCAATCACACTCTCGTACACAGCAGGTAGGGCGCTGCCCTGTGTGGTCTACATCCGGTGCGGAGTTGATGCAACAAAAAACTTGCCGCCGTCACCGACCTATAAACGCAGTACTGCTGTAGAACCTGCATAGAACGCACCGTCTCATCTTGGGTGTCTGGGATAGAACCCTTCATGGCACAGGCGTGTTTGCGCGGAAAGCGAACAGCGGTGAAGCGTGTTGGAAGAGTGCTGTGAGCAACAAGAGACGGTAGACGGCACAAGAGGAGCACTGAAAGCAAGGGCGCCGTGAATCAGCAACGCGTTGATTGGGCAGGGTCGACAGTTCATTCACCGCCCCGGTGCGCTTCTCAGACAGCCGCTCTTGCCCAGAAAGGCTACCCAAACTTCACTAGCGTGCTTCGAGGCAGGGTTGAGTGAAGCCTACGGAGATCCTTTGGGTAGGAGGAGTCACATCACAATATCTTCACAAGGTAAAGACCCACACGTGCGCAAAACACAGACAAATCAATCCGAGCTCCATTGAAGCGTTGAAGCATCTATCGGCAAACTCTGCTGCTGTATTGGACGACTGCATACATCTAGACTATTCTTGGTGCTTGTACTGCGAATAGGAGAGTCGATCACTACCTGGTATGCCGTTTCCACCGTGCAACGGGGCATCATTTGCCCTATTTGACCCACGATAATCGCGCGATTTTTGTGCACCAGCCTCCCTCAATGTGAGTTGTCTACCTGTCGAATGATGATGAGCAACTTCGTGCACATGCCAAGGCGTGATGAGGCTTCAGTTAATCACGAAACCATGGGTGTCTCAGTATGCCACCCGTTTGTACTCTTTGGTTCAATCGTAACCGGAAATTCGTTGCTGCGCCACAGCTGAACTACAGTCGTGTCCAGCTGCTGCTGAACGGTGGTTGTATTCCCTATGGTCTAGGGACGCAACTCGAAATACTAGCTTGTGTACTGATTGAGTGTCGTTCACGGATACTCTACAACGATATGTGTAGAGATAAAGGCATTGAACGGGTGAACGGTTTAGCCGTTACGCACACATCGCCAGTACGGTGATCGGCGTCGGCCTCGAAAAGGATAACTGCTCTCCCCCATGCCCTATTCAAAACCATGATGTGCTCACGGACCTGTAGCGTAAGGTTCTGTCTGGGCGCGTTTGCAAGGGGTCGAGGTCGAGTAGGACGTTTCAATTTGTTGTGTGCGCCTTTTTGCGGGCTTTGTCGATGCGCACACGGTTCGGCATGCAGCTGGTAGCGTTTTTTTCTTTTGTAGTGGCCGAAGACGCGTTTACACCCGCGCAGAGTCAACCTTCATTTCTTTTCCCACCTCCTCTGTTGTGCAGCAAATGTTTTTCGGCACAACAATCTGCACCCCCACAGCCGGTAATACTTATCCCCAGAAGTGAAATAGTATAAAAAACTCGAAACAAACTACAACGAGCTGTACTTTTTTCTTCTTTTAACCTAGTTGTTCATATGGCAGTCTGGCACGTTTATCCACACGTACATCTCCAGGGTAAAAATGGAGGTAGAACCTGCCGCGGAGAACAGTGCCATCTCCTCTTCGGGAGGAAAGATGGACCATGGTACAGTAGAGGAGCAGGAAAAAGATGAAGACGTATGTGCGTTGTTTGCGACCAGCATGCCTCGAGATGTCTGGGCGAACCCATCTTTGGCAGCCTTGGCGGCGATGATCGATGAGGACGCAGAGGAGAAAGGTGAGAGTGGCGAGGCGGGAAAAACAAATGTCCGTCAACGCTTTTAACAAATCCCGATTGGTTTGGGTCGAGAACAGAAAGCAGATGTTGAGCGTACTGTGCGCCTATGAAACGCTCTCCATAGCTAATCTGAAAGCACTCGGTCACAGCAGTACTGTGCGTCTTCGAGAAGCTCTCCAACAGATATTTTGAAAGCATTCTTTGATCACAGCAGTGATTGGGGTGGGAAGTGAGTCTGTTCGCTGGCGATTGCCCAAGTTGCCGTGATACCGCTTCACCGTTTCGAGTCGGGAAATTACCGCAGAGTGAACTCTTGCAACTCGCACCGCACGGCTGTTAACCAAGTCAAGCCATGCAAACAGTATCTCTTGGGCAGTGACAGGTGCCCTGCGATGCATGTGCCAGCACGCGTCCTGTGTGCTCACCTCTTCGGTGCTGAGCTTCCCCTGGCCTTGTTGTTTCAAGTCGCAAATATTGCCCTGAACGGACATCTGTTGTCACAAATGTGGGCCCTCCCGTTCCACAGAAAAACAGGTTGATGGACAAGAACACAGCAGCAGCAACGACCATCAAGGTGCACCACGAGAGGGAAGCTCCAGCATCAGCGACGATGGCAACGAAGACGGACTAGCTCCACGGATTCAAGGCGCTCACTCCACAACCGCCAACCAAAACGGTGTCCGCGGTGGTACGACCCCCACCTCGGGGTCGAGGCATCAGCGCCGAGAGGACATGAGGCGAAGGCGAACCGAGCGAAGAGCATCCCCCTATGGCCCGGCTGCTGGTCGGCGAGTACAGGGAAAACATATTTCATCGGGGAGAAGTGTTGTCAGGGATCGAGGGTCAGCGCCGACGACGGGGGAAACGCAGGTCTTGATGTCCTTGTGGAGGTTGTAGGTTGTATGTAGGCTTCCATGGCGACGACGTTACGCACTTCGCCCCGAAACCTCTTGTACTCTGGGAAACGTACAACCCTAGTGACGAACGGACCATCGATGGCTTGATCTGAGTTGTGGCTTAGCAGAGTCAAGATTTATTTGGTGACTGTTGTGTATGCACTGCGAAAGGGGAAAGGAGAGTTCATGCACGTGACGGAATTGGGCAAGCTTTTTCGGGTCGTTCGCAGTGCCTTGATCAGAAAGTTTCCATCTCCAAGATCTGTACATGAAGATATCGCTGAGTTGCGATTACTCCTTACACCCACGAGATTCGTGCGTTCTCACGGTCGAGAGCATTCTAATCTGCTCCCGTACGATTGAATACGGTTGGTTGTGGCGTAGTTGGAGGCACATTATTCTCAGTAGCATGGACTCAAGGATTGTTTCTTGTGGATAAGAAGTCTATTGCGTATGTGTCCAACGGAGCTTTGAAATGTCTAGCATGAAAAATAGTTCCACTTATAGAGCCAAGTTCGGGCAAGCACAGCAGAAATCGCGCCGAGTACAGTATGTATTGCTCGAGACGGCCGTCCCGACACTAGAGGGCCATATAGCCTGTGATTACGACAAAGAGAGAGGTGGCATTGGAAAACCAACACCAACATGGTCGGGAGGCGCATCCAACCCAGTTCTTGTCCCCCAAAATATGGGTAGTTACCGTTGCAAAACATAACTGCACGCCGATGTGCTACAGTAGTATGCCGTCAAAGAGCAAACTGTTCGCCCATTGTCCAGAACGGCTCAATCCAATCATGAGCGCAACAAAAATAGCAAGCGCTCTGCTTTTTTTCCAGGTGCAAGACGACCAAACCTCACCCTCAGACTCTCGTGGGCAGGATGAGTGTTTTCAGGGGATGAATAAAACGTTATTGTATCTACTGCTGTACTTGGGGTGAAAATATAAGCATCAACTTTCATGGGGTCTGATCAATTCCTGACGCCATGCAGTCATGCTGGCCGGGATAAAGACATGTACAACAAATGTGCACGCCTTTTCGCGACGTGGTTCAGAGATACGAATTTGTATTCTGTCTGGAGCAGGCCTCCTGTTGATTCCCATTTCACCTTTCCGAGTTCGTTCGTCGCTCGATGAAGGGTCTGTTTGTGATCTGCGATTTCGTTGGACCGGTACGAATGTTAGTAACCTGGTTGCAGAGTTCACTAAGTGAATTGGCTTGTTTTGCAACGTCGTTGCCAAGGAACGAAACCCCACCCCGATGGCAAACACCGGGGGAGGGGGGAATAGTCGCGAGGGGGGGGGGGGGGGGGGGGGG